TGGTCAGGGTCAGGGTTAGGTAACGGTTTGTTGACATACGGTCTGTTGGTCAGGGTCAGGGTTAGGTAATGGTTTGTTGACATACGGTCTGTTGGTCAGGGTCAGTGTTAGGTAACGGTTTGTTGACATACGGTCTGTTGGTCAGGGTCAGTGTTAGGTAACGGTTTGTTGACATACGGTCTGTTGGTCAGGGTCAGGGTTAAGGTTAGGTAACGGTTTGTTGACATACGGTCTGTAGGTCAGGGTCAGGGTTAGGTAACGGTTTGTTGACATACGGTCTGTTGGTCAGGGTCAGGGTTAGGTAACGGTTTGTTGACATACGGTCTGTTGGTCAGGGTCAGGGTTAGGTAACTGTTAGTTGACATACCGTCTGTTGGTCAGGGTCAGGGTCAGGGTTAGGTAAAAATTTGTTTTTATAAAGCCTGTCTGCAGCACCACTAAGTATCACATCTTCATTTCATTGTTATAATGAAGTAAAGATGTCCTGATTCTGACATTAATCCACTCACTGAAGTTGAAGGTGATTTAGAGTCAGCTGCTGACAGTATTCTCCTGTTCTCCTCCTCCTCCACAGCTGACATCCAGCAGAAGGACAGGGAGGTGCTGGAGCTCCTGCAGGAGCGCGTCACTCTGTTCTCTGACCTGGTCCAGGTGATGGCTCGAGGAGGAACAGAAGAGGAGAGAGGTGTGGAGGTGAAGACCTCCTCCTGCTGCAGGAACCTGTTTCGAGCTGACACTCCTCATGCTCCAAAAGCTGAGCCGCTCCTCCTCAGTGCCATCGGTGAAGGTGAGGAGGTGTTTGTTGACTCACCTGCTGGATATGCTCAGAGCTAAATGTGTCTGTCTTTCTGTTTCAGTGGACAGACTGGCTGTGCTGCTGTCCCAGTCCAGTTCCCTGAGGTCCTCCTTAACCAACGGCAACCAGGAGATTAGCAGTGAGTCACATGACCTGAGATGACCTCATACTTCCTGTCCTTCATTTGACCTGAGTACTGCTTCATATGACTGTCCCTGTCTCACCTGTCTGAACTACCTGTCTCACCTGTCTCACCTGTCTGAACTACCTGTCTGAACTACCTGTCTCACCTGTCTGAACTACCTGTCTCACCTGTCTCACCTGTCTGAACTACCTGTCTGAACTACCTGTCTCACCTGTCTGAACTACCTGTCTC